AAAGATCTGCCTGCCTCTGCTTCAGGAGTGCTGGAATTAAAGGCGTGCGCCACCACCGCCCTGCAAAAGAAAACACTTGAAGATGCATCTGAGGCTTCTTTCCTTCGGAATGTCATTTATCTAGAAAGCACTGGAGTAGCATGTCCATTGGATGGGGAAATGTGGGGAAGAAATGCCCTCCACAAAGGAGGACTCTGTGGGTGGTGGAAGCCATCGAGGGAACGCGCTGCTTGCCTTGCCTGGGCCTTTGGTTACATTTCATCTAGTGCACCTGCCAGATGCCAAGAAAAATAAGTGTACTTTGTAGAGATGGCTCTCTCTCTCTCTGTGTGTCTCTGTCTCTGTCTCTGTCTCTGTCTCTGTCTCTGTCTCTCTCTCTCTCTCTCTCTCTCTCTCTCTCTCTCTCTCTCTCTCTCTGACTAGCTCTCTCCTCTGCCCTTCCTCTGGTCTCTGTGACCCACCCCACAGAGGCTGCCCTAAACAACTGGACTCAGCACCTGGAGGAACAGGAACTCTACAGAGGCCAACAAGCCAACATTCCAGGGCAAAGGAGTGCTGGGGCTGGGCAAGTCAACCAGTTCAGCTGTTCTCCTCGCCACGCCCGCCATCTGGGCTTCCATCCAAGCCTCCTCCTCTCTCACTGCAAACCAAAGCCCCCAGCCCCGCCGCCGCCCGGTGCCCTTCTCTGCTGGCCAGGCTCTGCTCCCCATTTCTTCCATGCCTCCCTCTCCTAAGGCCGCCCCATTGCACCTGCCAAAGCCCCAACTCCATAAGGAGCAAACCGCCTTTGGTCTTCGAGTGCTTCTGTAAGCATTCCCCCAACGTTAACAAGACTGATTGGCTCCTGGCTGCGTCATAACTCCATCGTGCCCGGCCACCCTTCGGAGCTGTGGGCAGCCAGCCTAGGGGTGAACTCACCCTCTGCCTCTGGCCTCCAAAACCAGTCTGCTCCAGTGTCTTGACAGCCTCAGCCCCAGTGACTACAGGGAGCAAAGAGACCTAGCTGTGACCACTCTCAGTCATTAACCATTTCATTATTTTTCTGGAGATTTTGATTCATTATGAAAAATTTCAAGGCTAGGGAATAGAGCTCAGTTGGAGTGTTCATCTTTTAGCAAGAGGGCCCACAGTTGAACCCAGCACCAGCAAAGCAAACAAAAGGCCTTACTACCCTTCTCTTCTCCTCCCTTCTCCTCCTCTCCTTGCCCCTTCTTTTAAAATGTCCCAAACATACCCGTTAAATAGACTCGTATAGCAAAAATCTCAAGGACCACCTGATGACTCCGTCAGATCTTAATGTTTTTGCAATATCACCTCAGATCCCTTTCAAAATCCTTGTGTTTACAAGAAGGTTGAATTACTTTCCCTGGGCCACATCACGTACCCAGCAGAGGGTCTAAGACACAGTACAAAGAATTGTTTGCCCAAAACCTCAGCACAGTCCTCAATTACAGGCTTCTTGACTCAGTCCCTTCTTTTCCTATGTAATGAAACACATATTGAGACACACACACACATACATACAAGCACATATATAACACACAGACATACACACACACAAGCACATGTACACATACACACTTACATACAAGTACATGTACACATAGAGAGACACACACATACATACAAGCACATGTACGACACACAGACACAAACACACACACAAGCACATGTACACACACATACACACAAGCACATTTACATACACACAGGCACACACATACATAGGCATATGCACAGGCATATATATACACCATACACACACACACACACACACACACACACACACACACACACACATGTACATATACAGAGCTGGGAATCAACATCAGAACCTTTCGCATGCTAGGCAAGCACTCTACAACTTAGCTACATAACCAACCCTTGCGTTTGGTTTGGTTGGTTTGGTTTGGTTTGGTTTGGTTTGGTTTGGTTTGGTGGTGGATGGGCGGGTGGGTAGATGTCATTTTGGTTGTTTTGTTTTTATATAAAGTTTCACTGTGTAGCTTATGTTGGCCTTGGAATCACTCTCATGCCTTGGCCTTATAAGCACTGGGAATACAGGCATGTGCCCATACCTGGCTGGTGTGTCTGCATACTGCTACAAACCTTGGTTGACTCCATGTTTTTCTTGCTTTAAACATCTGTATACACCTCCATTTTCTTTTCTTTGTCTCTCCCCCTGTATGGTTCTTCTGTCTTTAACTTAATAACTATTTCACAATCGCCTACTATATGCCAGCCGCCATTCTAGGCATTTAGGACATCTGCCAGTCTTTTTCTTTGGGCAGCTCTTGGGTTTTGACCATCTGGAAACCCAAACGTTCTCTCCTTTCTTTTTACGGTCTCTGCTTTTCTACCTTGCTCCCTGACCTAACTATAAAACCACATTGAACCATTATTTCCCTTTTTGTGTGTGTTTTTACATCAGAAATCTGTGTACACCTATCTTAATTTTACTAAGAAATCATTTCCCACCAAGATGTTCTGACTTTCCCAGTACCAACTTTTGAGTCTCACCAACCACCCTGGATCCCGGCATAGGTCCACAGCCTGCATGGTCCACAGCCTGCATGGTCCACAGCCTGCACTGTACACAGCCTGCATGGTCCACAGCCTGCACTGTACACAGCCTGCATGGTTCACAGCCTGCATGGTCCACAGCCTGCACTGTACACAGCCTGCATGGTCCACAGCCTGCACTGTACACAGCCTGCATGGTCCACAGCCTGCATGGTCCACAGCCTGCATGATACACAGCCTGCATGATACACAGCCTGCATGGTCCACAGCCTGCACGGTCCACAGCCTGCATGGTCCACAGCCTACATTGTCCACAGCCTGCACGGTCCACAGCCTGCACGGTCCACAGCCTGCACGGTCCACAGCCTGCATGGTCCACAGCTGCTCCCAGACCAGCCTGGGCCTGTTTCCGGCTAAATGGAAAGTTCTCAACCGGGATTGGTCAATTTTCTTTAAAGACTTTGCTGCCCAGGCCCTGCTTCTTCAAGTCCCCTGATGGATCCGAAAAGCAACCCTGTTCCTCATGTGTTTTAGTCAAGTGCTCCTCTCATGGAGCAGTATGCTTCCTTTCCTGATGGGCCATGACAGAAGTGATTTTGTGTTTTTCCAATTTTCCCTGAAAACTGAGATGGGAAGAGAGGAGGCAGGAAAGTGAGACACACACTCACAAGTGAGAAAGGAGGGGGAACTCTGGGCCGTTCTTCTCGGGGTTGAAGAGCTGCCAGCGTCAGGGGCAACTGCAAATAGTTTGCCTCCCTGCCAGTCCTTCAGGAAAGCAAACCTGGGCTGAGCTGGAGACGGAACAGCTGCAGTTCCCAGCAGCACATTCCACAAAAGCCACAGGAAAACTGAAGAGGACAAGCCGCTCTTGATAACAGCGGGGAGAGCCAACAAGGGAAAACATTAGTAAGGAGATCTGGAGGCTCCTCTCCCTGGCAAGGCAAGAATTTCACATCGTGTATCTGGGAAGACACGGTGGGCCGGAAGTTAACGAAGATGGCGTCGATGCACACATGACGACTGACAGAGACACACACAACTCTGGTGTCCAAACCGCTCAGGAGGTAAAAAGAGTAAAGTCCCCGGATCCAAACTAGTTTACAGCTCCCAGAGTGCAGTGCAGTAATTTACCTACACCAAGTGACAGAACCCCTGATGGTCAGCTCCCTTCAGAGTTTAGTAATTAAGCTCATTTAGAAGATAAATTCGAGCTGTCTGAGAAGAAAGCATTCCTAGCAAGGCAAGAATGCAAAGTTTCGGTGCAGCTGTGTCTTTGTGGGGGTTAGTGGACACCATCTCACCAGACCCCTCCTGGGATGAAATCGCTTATTAAAATTTCAAACTCCTTTTTATTGAATCAAAGGAATAACTCCGTGTTAAATAACTAAGAAGCTTAATTTTTAAAAAGAGAAACCTCTCCCTTCCAAGCCTCACTCAGATCTTAGCAGCTCAGTGGTGGGGTCTGTATGCCTGCAGATACACGCGCCAAATGCATTTGGGCAAATTTCCAGAGCTCGGCACACAGGAAAGTCTACGAGGCAAAGGCCAAGGGTCTTAGCAGGAGGGTTTGCAAGCCCCAAACCTTCCCTGGGAATCAGAGTGTTATCAGTTCTGAGGATTTGCTGCCTGGGAATACTCCCCCCTTGACCTCTGACCCTGGAACACGAAACCCTTCGGTGGCTCAGAGCCTCCTTTTCTTTGCTTTCGAGCTGAATGGTCACACTGGACTTTGTCCTCCTAATACCTGACATTTGGCACACTCTCCTGGTTCCCTTTCTCTTTTTAATTTTACGAGTTCATTATTCTTTTAATACACCTTTCTTACTATTTTTCAAATTTATTTATTGTTTTAAAATTGATAGCTAAAGGGCTAGAGAGATGGCTCAGAGGTTAAGAGCACTGGCTGCTCTTCCAGAGGTTCTGAGTTCAATTCCCAGCAACCACATGGTGGCTCACAACCATCTGTAATGAGATCTGGTGCCCTCTTCTGGCCTACATGTAGGCAGAATACTGTATACATAATAAATAAATAAATCTTTGAAAAAAATTGATAGCTAAAATTGGATTTATATGAGTATATATATATCTATATTTATTATATTAATATTTATATTTATTATATTATTATATTACCAATATTTATGCTTATTACATTTTCATTATATTTTACTTATTTATATTTATTTTATATACAGTTTATATGTTTTATATGAAATATATATATGAGTTTATATATGAAGTATATATGAAGGGAATTTATCAGAGTGGCTGTGGTCCAGCTGGTCTGTCTACCAATAGACAACAGGAAGTCCAAGAAATCCAGTAGTTATGGAGTCCAGAAGGCTGGACGTCTCTGATGGTCTTCAGTGTACACTAGAATCCCAAAGAAGTAGGCTCAAATGTCAGTGAAGGAATGAGTCAGAGTGAGAATAAGCATCAAAGAGCAAAAGCTTCCTTCTTCCATGTCTTTTACACAGGCTTCCACTGGATGATGTGGCCCAGATTAAAGGTGGATCTTCCCACCTCAAAAGATCCGGATTAAAGGTGAGTTTTCCAACTTCAAATGATTTAATTAAGAAAAACCCCTCACAGGTGTACCCAGCCACTGGGTTTTCAGTTAATTCCAGATGTAATCAAGTTGACACCAAGAATAGTCATCTCACTAATTAAAAACAACAATGTGTGCATGAATATACATACATGTATATATATATATACATATATATATATACAAACAAATGTACATGTATATGTAGTATAACAGGTAGAAAGGAGAACAAGAGAGTTTAATATTGGGTGATGAGGAAGGACTGAATGCAGGTAAAATGCATATGAGTCATGAAAGGATAGATAGCTAATTGTTTTTCTACTTTTAGACTACATCATGGAATTTTCAGTTTGCTGTGTGTGTTTGTGTGCGAGCTGGATAAGTTCTTCATTGAGATGTATAGAGTTCGGGTCTGGACAAGTGCTTGTTTGAGGGACTATGGTAATCTAGCTATGTGATTTTTTTGTTTGCAAGTTCTTTACAAAAAGTGATTTTTATAAGTAAAATAAATAAATAATAAAATCATGTAAGTATATATGAATAAAACAAAAATAACTAAACATTCCAATAATATATAGGAGCAAAGGGTTACCTATAAGGCTGATCCTTGCAACAGTGTTTATAATGAGGTTGAAAACAAATATTTGCTTCATCTATACAATAGAATATATGACCCACTTAAAAGTGTACTGTAGCTTCATTACATGAAAAGGCGATTTACAAAGGGTATATGTGTGTGTGTGTGTGTGTGTGTGTGTGTGTGTGTGTGTGTGTGTGTGTGTTTGCTTTGCAAGCTACGTTATGCCATATAATACTTCCAAAAACTCTATGAAGAATGTCCCTGTCACCATTCTGCCAATGATAAAACTGAGAATCAATCAGAAGCAAAGTAATGGAATTTCTACCCCAAGTCATATAACCTTTCATTTTGCCTTAATTAATGCCTAAAGGACAGAGCAGGAATATGTAATACTGTACTTAAAAGAAGTGGTATTTCTATAAGCAAGTAGATAAAATCTTTGAATTATAACTATAGTAGTATAAACTCCATTTATCCACTTAGTCTCTAGTTCAATTTCAACAAATTTGAATGTACACATTCTATTGCTTATGCATTGAGTATATTCAAAAATCTATCTCATGTGTTACAAAAGTAGTAGGTAACGTCCATGGTTCACATCTTAATGGGCAGAACTCATTCATGAGGCAGTGGTTAAGAGAGGGCGATTTTCTCTATCAGTAATAACTGTGAATGACTTACATAAATGCCCTAACCTAAGACTCTTCCTACATTACGTTAGGGTTACATTTTCTCCCTCTGTCAATTCCATTTTATTTTCAACAAAAAAGCCACACAGGAACACTGACTGCTAAATGTCCCATTAGCATTCAGTGACCTTCTCCACAGCAGTGCTGTGACTGTGAACCTGCTGTGGCCAATTGAGACACACAAAAGAAATGGAAAAAAGCCACTAAACGTTCTGGAGTGGCCCCAAATGCCAAGGAACAGTTCTAAGCACGCGAGGGAAGGCCAGGAAACAAGCGAGGAGATGCCACTGGGCTGTTAGAAACAAGGACACAAGCCCTGAGGACCTGGGGGCCACAAAAGCTTACAGGGATATGGAGACACAAGGATATGGGGGCGCAGGGGCACAGGGACACTCTGGAAATCTAGTGACATCAGTGCTTGCTCGTAAATCTCCCCTCCCTAGAACAGGCTAGAATAAAGGAAGAGGGAGACACAAGCAAGGTTATTGAACAACAAGGATGCCCATACAATCCAAGGAGACATTCCTGCCTTGGCCACTATACTACCATGCTGTATGGTGGGCTAGCAGGGAGAAAACTTGGGGAGAAACATTTCATTTGGAAAGACAGACCTGGAGATGAGTAGATCAGGGGAGAATGAGAACTATCCACTTGGCGCCATTCTTCTATATAGAAGCAGTGTTCACTATCCAGAATACACAAGGAACTCAGAAACTTAACAGCAATCATTGAACAACGGGATTAAAAATAGGCATCTGTGAAAGGCTTGATTTCTGTCTCCCATCAGCTGGGCGTGGCTGTGACACACATTCCCAGCCACATGGGTGTGAGAAGAAATGTCCTGATGCTTCTTCTGCTTCTCCTGCCTCCCATCTGGAACATGTACATGGTGTGGAAGTGTGGCAGACATCACCAAAGAGACAGAGAGGGAGGCAGACAGAGCCTCAGCTTGATGGCATTGTTGAGTTACTCTCCCAGTCCTGAACTGGCCACACTTGGACTCCTTGCCACCTCTGTAAGCTACAGTAAAGGCATTTTCAGATGTCTTCAATTTAAACATAATTCTAATCCTGTAAAGTAGTTCCAAGGAGCCAAAAAACGAATCAACCAAGTGTTAACCCTAGGAGGTCAGTCTCCCAAAAGAGCCAGGAGAATATTCATGGGATGAAAAGTTAGGGAGAATCAGTGAGATAATAGGGTGTGATATAAAAAGAATAGGTTTGCTTATGAGATAAAAATCAAGATGGGAAGCTAGAGAGATGCCTCAGCAGGTCACAGTATTTGCTGCTCTTGCAGAGGACCAAGGTTCAATTCCCATCACCTGCATGCCAGCTCACAACCACCTGCCTAAATGAATGCAGACCTGCACACATACACATAATAAAAACAAATATTTTTTTTAATTGAAACAGGATTCTCTTCTACATGTTTACAGGCTTCCACTGAAATCAGATATGCTGAAATCAGAAGGAGAATGTCTTGGAATAGCTTTGATGAGCCATTCAGCACAGAGGATCCTGGAGAACTCTGCGGGAACTGGTGTAGAAGAGCAGGGCTGGATGGGCTGGGAGAAAAAGAGGGTCTGTCCTCACTCAGGCTGTATCTGTAACTGTGGGTGGTGCTGTACACAAAATGTCGTGACCTCATCCTCAGTGTCATAGTATTTGGAAAAGAGATATTTAAAAAGATGGTTAGGTCCTGAGGGTTGAACCCTCATGAGTCCAAGCTCCAAGTGGTCTCTCCTCCTTCTCTCTTCCTTCCTTCCTTCCCTCCCTCCCTTCCATCCTTCCTCCCTTTCCCATCACCCTTCCTTCCCACTGACATTCCCTCGCTCACCAAACCTATTGGAAGCAATTACTTCACCAGACTCCCTGTACCCACCGGACAAGAGTTTCTGCTTGACCTTGACTGAATCAAGTTTCCACCCAGGAAGTTATCTCACACTCACCATGATGGGGGTGCAGAAGATGGGGGGGCTGCACAGCATCATTATCCACAGGCTCTACAGGCCAGGCTGGTGGCTTTTCTCAAAGGAACCGCAAGAATTGGTTGTAGGGAAAACTAACAACCATTATCCAGCAGAGTACAGGGAAAGAAGAGTCAACCTAAACACAGACATTTCCCCCACTATACGCATTTTCAGCTGAAAGTGGATCTAGAACCAGGTGAAAATACAGAAGTAAGAGAGAAAGAAAGCGGGACTATGGTTTACAAAGAGTTATCAGACTGTAAGGGTCAAGAGTTGGTGCTTCCGGTGTGATGCTATAGTCCTGAATGCAGGTGGCGTAGTCACTAGTTTAACACAGCAAGGAATTGTGAGGATAGTTGCGACGGCTTGAGTCTGAACTGACCTTCACAGACTCTAGCATTTGAACTCCTGGTCCCCAGCTGATGGGAATGTTTTATTTGGGAGGTCATGAAATGTTTAGAAAGTAGAATTTAGCTGGAAGAAGTGGGTCACCTCACACGGGGTGTGTCTTATTCTTAACTTCCTGTCCTGCTCTGTTTCCTGATCTGGCCACCAAGTGAGCAGCTCAGAGCTGTTCACACCCCTGTGCCTTGCTTGCCTCAATGAATGGGAATTCTCAGAAGCCATGAACCAAAATAAATTTTTCCTCCTTAAGTCGTTTCTGTCTGGTATTTCATCACAGCAATGAAAACAAAAACCTAATACAATAGTCTTGGGATAGTATCATGTGGGCAAAGCATTCACTCAGGCAACACACAGGGTCTGAGTAAGAAGACTACTAAACCAAGTACCCATACAGTTCATGGATATGATCACAAGATCAGCAGTCATGGATGAGCTGGGCTTGGAGATAATTCAGCTGAAAAGATAAGCTTTACAAAAGGGGAGTTTTCCCATGGGGCTGGAAGACAATCAGGTTATAAATATGATAATGTCAGGAGGGATATTGACTTGCTGATACCTAAGAACTGAATGAATGGGCAGCCAAGGCCATGTGGGGAGAGGTGAGGGAAGACTATGGCGGCAGAGATGCTGGAAGACTATCAGGGCAGAGGTGGGTCTTCCTGTGTCAGCATCAATTCAATAAAGTCAAGAAGTGGGAGACTCATTCAAAAGGGAATTTAAAGATGACCAAGTTTGTTTATTCTGAAATGACTGTTCCAAAGAGCACAGAAGGAGTGTTTGGAAACGGTTGAATAGTGTGTATTTTGTTGTAAGAAAAGGATCACAAAAACATCAGAAAGTGTGCAAGTTTGGGAGTGGTTAGGGGATAAGAGCAGCTTGCATTCTCTTCTTCTCCTTTCTTATGTTAACTGAAGACCTTCCCTGCCCTGAGCCACTGCTGGATGAGTCTGCCTGCCCTCTGTGGCTGCCAGATGGGGACCGATGGAGATGTAAAAGAGGGTGCTTTTCTTACAAAGAACCACCCTCTCTCCCAGCACAGAACTTGAGCACTACCTTCCTTACACTCGTTGACTCACTTGTCAATCCCACAACTTTTCTAATCTTTCTTATGATCCAGAACATACATTATGGCCCATCCTTGAACTAGAGCATAGGAACAAGAAGAAAGAGAAAGACACGGTCTATAAACTGGAAACAAGTGAAATGAACAGAACAGTACCAGTTGCTTCGCCATTTGCATGCTATCAGATTGTTGTTGTTGTTGTTGTTGTTGTTGTTGTTGTTGAGACAGGGTTTCTCTGTGTAGCACGGGCTGTCCTGGAACTCACTCTGTAGATCAGGATGGTCTTGAACTCACAGAGATAAGCCTACCTCTGCCTCCTGAGTGCTGGGATTACAGGTGTGCACTAACACTGCCTGGCTTATCTTTTAAACTCATTAAATATGTGAGTGACACTTGGTGGGGGAGTGACTCTCCCTAGGAAGGGGAAATAGAATAGATAGAGATGGACAAGGGAAGGATCAAACGGGAAGAAAAGGGGGGACAGGAGGCAGTAGAGGGAGAGACAGCTAAACTAAGGGCCATTTGAGGGTCATAGAGAAATCTAATACAGTAGGCACTTCTCAGAATATGTACATAAATGAAACCAATGTAAACGGAATCACAAAATAATGAAGGAGACAAAGCCCCAGCTAGACATCTGTCAACACCAATGAAACATCCATTCCCAGGAATGGACTACATCTAACCAAGTTGTTGGCCAAAGGGACTTCATGGGAACCCCAAAACTACCCAGGCTATTACCAAGGCTATTGGTTGCTCTCCACAAATTGATGGTAAGGCCCTATTATTAAAAATAACACCTGCACAACTCACTGAACACAGAGAAGTTGAGCTGGTGCCTACCTAGAGCCTGCATCCCTACTGACTAGTGTTCCTGGTCCTAGAAGGTACTCTACACACTACTAGAGGAGAACGTAAACAACAACCCAGCTACAAACTCTTCAATCTGCAACTGAGACCTACATGCAAGACATACATACACTAGTACATCAATGGCACAGAAGTTGTGGTGGTAACCAGCCACTATGTGGCGGGAATTAAGGCCACTCCATGCGATGGAACCCATACCCAATATTATGTGGGTGGCTAAGAATCTGAGACTAGATAGGGCACAGACCCAGGGGAAAACTACATACTGCTGCTCTACTAAAGGAACAGAGCAATAAAATGGCTTCCAGTGACATTCTTCTATACTCATAGATCAGTGTCTTGTTTGGCCATCATCAGAGAAGCATCCTCCTGTGGTAGATGGGAACAAATATAGAGATTCACAACTGGACAATGTGCAGAGAGTGAGAGACTTTAGAACACTGTCCTAAATGGGATGTCTTCTCCATTGAATTCCTGCCCTCAAGGCCCAGGGAGCCCTGTGGAAGAGAAGGTAGAAGAAGTGTAAGAGCCAGAGAGGATGGAGGACACCAAGGAAACAAGGTCCTCTGAATCAACAGGACTGATGCTCGTATGAGCTCACAGAGACTGAGGCAGTACACACAGGGCCTGCACGGGTCTGTACAAGATGAGGTCCTGGAGCTGAACAAAGCCCTAACCCAGAAGCTGTCTCCAAGGGTAACTGTTCACAAAGGAAAAGTTAGTTTTCTCCAACCATGACACAGTGGGTATACCAGCCACACTTACGGGCAAGCCCCATGCCTAGCAGTAAACAGCCAACACAAAATGAACTCTCTGGTATTTTTTTGGAGAATTTTTGTCTCCTTGTGCTTTGTCTGGTTTTTTTTTTTTTTTTAACTTACAGATCTTTTGCTTATATATTATGGCTTCCAGTTTCGTCTTTGTGGGTCTTCTGTATGTGCAAATGTATGTGTCTCGGCCTCTGTATGTATTTCTTGTGCTTTTTATTTTGCCCGATTTTGTTGTTGTTTTGCCCTATTCTGTTTTGTTTTTATTTTATCTTATTTTATCATTTATTATTTTTTTAGATGCCTGTTTGTTTTCTTTTAAGACAGAGAAAGAAGGAATGTAGATTTTTGGCAGGTAGGAAAGTGGGGGAGAATCTGGGAGGAGCTGAGGAAGGGGGCACTGTAATCAGAATACGACTTCTGAAAGAAAATTGATTTTCAATTTTAAAAACTGTGAGTGCATTTTCTTGCAGCTCAAAAGTTAAAGAACATGCCACTGAGATCTGGCCAGGCACAAAGAGCAGAGTGCACTGTGGAAGGGCAAGCCAGAATGCGTGGGACAGAAAGGGGCTTGCATTTTGGAGGGTCGGCAGGGTCGCCAAGAATGAAAGGCCTGGTTGGAGTCAGAAGCCAGCTTTCAGCGTGCTTCTGGGCAGGCTGACAATAAACTGCCTGCTGAGGTCAGCACATTCGTCTCCTTTGCCCTCCTCCAGATGTTACCTGCAGTAAACGTTTATTAGCCCAGGACAGAGCATGCCCATGAGAGCCAGCAGAGGCGACACAGAGCTCCGTTGTTCTCATGTCCTGATCCGGAGGTCATTATTTGGTCTTAGAACAGGGAGCTGTGCTCTCAGCCTTGGCGGTTTTCCTCACTCCTGCCAATCATGTTTTTCATCTTGCAAGAGGAAGCCTTTTGAGAGGCTGTGTTGATCTCTTCTTCGCTCCCATAGTGATAAAGCAAACAATCTCCAGGATCTGGCCAGAACTTCCCCAAACAGCCCCAGTTCTCACAGTCCTGAGACTTCGCTGTGCCAGAGGTCTCCTGTTGGAGAATGAATTCATTTTTCATTCATAGAGTTCATTCAGAGTTGAGATGTCTGACAACTTACCTTGTTTTGCTGCAGGGACTCACATAGCACACTGTAGAACCACAATGTAGAACATTCTAGTGAAAGAACGCAGTTTCAAAGCAGATCATGTTTTGTACTAGCACATGCAGTCTTGATGTGGCAATCCAAAGAGTCGTAAACACCACACACTTATCATCAAAAGTAAAATAAATAATATCTGCCACAAGCCGTGGCAGGAGGTGGGACATTCCGAACCCTCCCATGTGACTGGTAGCAACATAAAGAGATACTGTCCCTTTTGAAGACAGTTAGGTCATATTTCAACATAGAGTTCAATCATAGGGGTACTGTATGGCTGAGCAATTCCACTTTCAGCATAGTCAAGAGAAGCGTGAACACATTTTCAGTGCCCATAGCGATATGGGAATAAAAACAGAAGCGCTCCAACTGATGGTTGTGATCATCATATTTTTACTGCTGGGACAAAATACCCAAGAAAGTCAGTTTAAAAGGAGGAAATACAGCTTCAATCCGTGGTCCACTGGGTCTCCTGAGACAATGATGAACATCATGGTGGTGAGAGCCTGTAAAGGAGGCTGATCACTTCACGGAGGTTAGCAAGCAAAGGGAGAAACCAAGAGGGTGCAGACAAAATAGACTTGCCCTCAAAGACACAGCCCTCCCTCTTCCAACTCACCCCCAACTCTGAAAGCTTCAACCATGTCCCAGCAATGCCATCAAATAATAGATCAACAGATTCATTCATTGATTAGGTCAGAGCCCTTGAGATCTGAGCACCTCCCAGTGGTTGAGACCCGCCCAATGCATGAGCCTTCTGGAAGATGCTTGATATTCAAGCCATCAGCAGACAAATGGATATAAAATGAAAAATACCTATATAATGGAGTGCCATCTGGCAGCAAACAGTAATTGAGTATTGAGACCTGATACAACATACAAAGAAAATCTCAGTAAAAGAGATGAGGGACAAAATACCACTTGCTGGGTGTTATATATCACAAATGAATTACCTATGTATTATATATATGTAACACAAATCTTTAAAGGTCTTATTAATAAAAACAAACCTGGAGCCAGGTATTGAGGTGAACGCTGAAATATCAGAGAAACAGAATAAGCCACCGTAACCTCACCTCGCCAATTCCTCAGCTGATCTCGTTTCCTCAAACTAGAAACCTCTGTGTCCTCATCTGAATGGATCTCAGCTAAACTGCTGCTCAAAAACCTAAAAGCTTAACAGACTCTAGTTCATGGTTTTCGTGCCTTATATACCTTTCTGCTTCCTGCTATCATTTCCTGGGATTAAAGGCATATGTCACCATGCCTGGCTGTTTCCAGTGTGACTTTGAACTCACAGAAATCCAGATGGATCTCTGCCTCCAGAATGCTAGGATTAAAGGTGTGTATGCCACCATTTTCTGGCCTCTATGTCTACCTAGCAGCTGTTCTGTTCTCTGACCCCAGATAACTTTATTAAGGTGCACAATATATTGGGGAAC